TAAGTGGTAAGATGATTTCCACATTACTCTTTTCTCAGTGTACTTTTGGCGTAATCATAAGTAGTTACGGAATTAGTTCTCCACAAAAAGTAATTCCTTTCCTCCTGAATCGGTAACTTCAGTGTCTGAATACTTCAGTCTAGTGTCCTTCTTGTTCTCACTGTAGATCTCAGTACATTATTAATGGCCACCTATCATCAGTTACTTCTTTCCTCTCCACTTGAGAAATTCTAAATTTGAAACCACCTTTTAGGGAATCAGTAAAGGCATCTTCAGAAAGAACAAGGGGTCTCTACATACCAAATCCCAACAGCTGTTACATGCTTTATGTTGTAATTACAGGCTCAAAATCAGTAGCCAATGATCTTACTCTTAAACCTATTAGCCTCTTGTGGGCTGAAACAAGACTACTGAAAACAGTTGTCTGGAATGTGAGTGTAGGATGTCATTAGCTTTCCTGTTTCCCCTGGAAGTTTTTTTAGATAAAAATGAAGGAGAGGGAAAACAAAAAGCAGAAAGTGAATAAAATATCTCTGTGGTAGAGAAATTCTGTACCACTACAGAAACAGTAGCACCGCCCTTGCTTTCAATGCATAAACATCAGACCCTAAGACTTTCTGTTAAAATCTCCATGCTTTGGGACCCTGGGTTCACAGGTGGCACAGTGGGTCATGATGACAGTGATGTACCATATGGAAATGTCCGTTTAAGCCCAAGCATTTTAAATAATGCTGCGTTGGCCTGAGTCAGTCTGCTCAAGACAGACTGCTGTCAGTGGTGGAATTGCATGCTTTCTTTATACTAATGCTCCAACCTCTGTTAATTACAGAACTTAAACTAGCAAGTTAATGTTGAGAAATTCCAGATGACCCGCTCTAACAGAAGCCTCCTCTGAGAAGCAGCTTTCTTTTCCATGTATCTCAGTGGAGTCAAATTTTTACTCAAGCACTTCCAGGCAGACAAGCGAATCTATTTTCCTTCTACTGAACTGTATTGGGCACAGAACTACTGAAAGCAAGGAATAAAGTAGTATGAGTAGATTGCAGAAAATTAAGTCTGCAGCAGCTAAACTTGTCTGCCATTTAATGAGTTTCTGGTGGCAAAGACCTGTCTTTTTGCTTGCTGTGCAATAGAAGACTAAATAAAGGTCATATCCATAGCACTCTTAAGACAGCAAATCAGGACATTTAGTGCTGGTGATTTGGGGAAAGGAATTCACCTGTTTTTGAAGCCTACAGTAAGGCAACCGTTCTTTCATATTTCCATTAGAACAACTGAAGAGCGAATAATTAAAAAGATCATCTGCTAGGCCACTGAACTCACAACATTTTCTAATGCTAAGACATACTAAATAATTGAATTATGCATATTTTGCAGATCAACTTGCAAAATCAGTTTCACTTACTTGACTGGGGATGTAAGATCCATGCCTTGCAGCATTACACTATTCCCCTCTGCTGCAATTTGGAGGTGTCCTTCATTTTGAGTGCTCTGCAACAGGATGTATTACTCAACTCTTGAACACCAGAGTAAGGGAGAAAAAACCCTTAACCTGCATTACTTCATAATTTTTGTGACGTTTAAATAAGTCTCTTAGAAATAGGAAAATAAAAACATTGTTATATGCTTTGTTAGCCTACTAACCTTGAACAAGTGAACACTCACCTAAGTGATTCAAAAATGGTTTATTGGTTTACTTAAGCTTTTGTCTGCTTATGAAATTTGTTGTGCTCTTTTACACTCTAACACCATCACCTAGGATGAGTCCTGTATTCACCTTCTAGAGTGATATAAAGTTTTGCTCTTCTGTTTTTAAATTGAGAATTACATTTTGCTATCTTCAGTGGAGCTGCTTTTGTTGCATATTAGCAGAAATGAAACGAGGATGTATGAATGTGAATACTTATCAAAAGAGAATTGTTTAATCCCTAACAACAAAAATCTTTCACCTGTACCACCATTTCTATACTCTCCTACAAAAGATCCAAACTATTCCTAGACCATATTAAGTAACACTGAAAATCAATTAAGCTGTTCTTACAAATATTAGTCACATCATTTGATCAATTCTGACATCTGGTAAAGAAACTAAATAGTATGATTATGTATTTAAGATGATGAAAACTGATTTCTTTTGTCTTAGTACCACCATAGCCTGTTGCAATTCAAGAGGAGTATCTCCATCAGCTAAATTATAGTGATATTATTGACTTATGTGTTAAAATAAAAGATTATGCAAGGGAAGTACCCAATTTATATATGTTTGTATTTGGCCTTTTGCCTCTCAATTACACTCAGGTTGCTTAAGTAAAGTCAGATAAAACAGTGAAGATCTAAAGCACTTGAAGAAAAACCTTAATAATGGATTTTACACAGCAGTCAATTTCTTGAGCTAAAATACATCAGGTCCTATCAGTAACTGTGAAGGTTTTAAGACATGCTAAGTAGCGATCACCATATTGATACAAAATGTTTTTCTGCCTTTCTAAAATCAGCATTTAGAATGAACCAAATATTTGACAGCATATAACAATTTGATTAACCTCTGCTATACAGTAATCACACTTGCGTGTACAGTTAACTGACAGTTGTTAAGAGACTCCAGATACTTCATCTTGAGATAAATGGAATTTTATTTTTAGGAAGAGAGTGATTCCTCTTTATAATAAATGTATAAAAGTGCAATATCTTAAATATTTACTGCATGCAAGTTGTCCTTTTTTTTTTTGTTAGCATCATATAAAGTAATCTTATGGAATAACTTATGTCTGCAAGAATACATTTGAACTTAGTGTTGAATTAATGAGTCTCTTCTGTTGAGTGCCAGTCTGATCATTGCATTAACCACCTCATACAGGACTGTAGGAAAAAAAGGCAAATTTCACTAACATCTTGGCAAACAGTTCTCTATTGACAATGCAAAATGACATTTTAAAATGGGTGTTTTGACCCAATTTGGCCCACACTAGCCTACTGTATCCTTTAGTTGACTGTATTACAACTACAGTGTTATAGTTTTCTGAAATGCCTATCCACAAGGTTAACTGGATCTGTCCCTGATTACAGGAAACTTCTGAAACTATTCTTACTCACAGATTTTCTTTAACTCAGCCAGTATAATCAATTCTGTAACGATTACCAGAATCAAGCAACCTTCTCTTTTTGGCAAACAAGTTAAAGATTCAGAAAAATAATCAGAACAAGATGTGAGGAGGAACATGAAATAAGATTAAGCAAAAAAGTGCATTCTTCTTCAATTGTACATTTCATCAATTATTTAATTTAGTAGACCAATTTACATTGATTCAGAAGGATCAGAATGTATTCTGGAATCTATATACATAAAGCCGTACTGTAAAAATACTTCCTTTAGATAGCAGGAAGCAATTAATCAGTGTGATAGACAACTGTGAATGTAGAAGGAAAGAGTGCATTAGACAAGGACACAGTAAACCTTGAATGTCATGCACAGTGACATGAAATCTTAAAATACCTTAAGATAGAAATTTTTTTTTTTTTTAAGATCTTACTGGAAATCAAGAACTCTTTTTTTTTCTTTTTTTTTTTTTTTTTTTTTCCCCTGTGAGACAAATGAAAGCCTAATTCTTACATTTCTCCATCCTTAACACCAAGTGGGACTTTCTGGCTTCAGTCTGACCACAGTCGGGTTTAGTCCTTGTAAACACAAGATTGTTATTCTTAAAAGGGGAGCAGAAAAGTTTTCCTTGATGTATCATTTCCTTTATTTTTTTTCTGGATAAAAATGCAATCAACCTTTCAAAGTGAAAAAAGCCATCCTTCCAAGCCAGAATGGTTAATAAGCCATGAAGTGCATAAAATGAAGGGTTTAGATACTACATATTGCTTGGGACTAGATTTTAAATAGAGGGGAGTGTAACTCCCTTTCTTCCTAACCTGTAAGCATTTTGGCCACACAATTCTACCTCTTCCATTTAGTCAGTTTAGCACTTGTCTGAACTTTTGATTAGCCAAATTGTCTGAAACCTCTGAAAATTAAGACTACTAAACCAATCCAAGCAAAAGCAAAAATGAATGGAAATTTTCACCCAATATATTGGCTGGCCAAGTGGCAGGGCTGACATAATGGAGAAGGAAAACCCCATGCAGGTAAGAATCAGGAATTGAGGAGGTCTTGGAGGGTAGTTCCTTTTGGTAGCAATGAGCTATGAGAAGGGGTCAGCTGTCTTGATACCAGATGTGTTCCTGAAGAGCTGGCAACTGTGTATTTTTGGGGCATTCTATAAATACTCTGGAACTCTTAGGAGTTTGGGACAGTATCCTACAAAGCAGCTGGCAATCGGGTGATATGATCATAGTATGTGATGTAAGGTTTTATCACAACTATGCACAATTTATCACACAGATATAGTTTCTACATCTATTTCATGTATCTAAAGATCATCACTTATAATGTATTTTTGTTGACTTGACTGGCATTGAGATGTGAAGATAAAATAAATCCTTCCCCACCAATCTCTCTCCCTTACATTCTGTAACAGGAAAGTCAGGAACCATTCCCTCAAGCCCTTGCTTAGTCACACTGTTTGGACTCCAAGAATCTTACTTCAACTGTTGTGGTCACATAGTAGAGAACAAACGCATTTTTGCAACTGGCCTGAAATTCTATTTCTTCAGTAATGAAGGTTTGAGATCCAATGACTGTTGATCAGATATGACCCAGACTTCTGAAAGGCAACATGTAGGCATCTTTACATATTCCTATCATCACACGAGGAACAAAAAAGATCAAAGAAACAGTCTGCTCTTGAAGTGCTACCGCAGACATCCAAAAAGCTTACGAAATTCACCTCACTGTCTACAAATTCTGAAGGTTTTCTATTAGTGAGATATAAGCTATTATTCCTTTACCCCCATGCTTCTGAGTTTCCATTGTAGGCAAGCCAAAAAAACCCCTTTAACAATACTGTCAAATTACTGTCTCCACTGTAACAAACCTTAAATGTTTTGAATGTTCTGGCTGTAATAGTTATTCTTGAAATTTTAATATTTAGACAATGACAACAGAGCACATGTAATTAAAAAGTAATAATGGATTAATACATCTATCCAACATTTATCATAATAGGAAGCATTCTGGGAGAACAATAAACTCAAATAATATTTCAGAAAAGCTACCCTTCAAGGAATGAAGATACTATAGTACAAAGTTATGGCCAAAAATATTGTATTTTTAACCAGCAACATTTTTGAGGGACAGTAACTGTACAATATTAGTTTTTTTCAAAAAACCCCTATTTCTGTCCCTCAAACAACACAGAATACATGCATTTAAATGACACTTTAAGAACAGCAAATATGATCTTTATTTTTAAATACTGCAAGTTTTAAAATGTATCAGATGATCCCCCTCAAAAAGACAAAAAAAAAAAAAAAAAAAGGTCAAATAAGGATTTCCTGCAGCACGGTAAATAAGGAATCCAGCAAGAGACTTCAGCTTAGACTGTATTTCAAGAGAAAAAACCCCAAACCAACAGATTTACAGTAAATTCAATCTGGCTCACTTTGTATTTTTCACACTTATCTTCAAAATCTCCCTCTATTCCTTCCTTCCCTATAGCATGGCTACTGTGAAAAAGCTCAAGTGAAACTTACAGTAAAATCCCCTTAACTAGTGAAATAGTGACCCTCAATGTACTGTTGACTACACAGAAGTGTTCCTGGTTTGACTGACAAAACTTAAAATATTATGGATAGCCAAAAAAAAGACAGTATCAGTAGCTCCTCTTCTCAAACTAAACGTATGGTTTTCCAAAATGTCTACTAAACTAACACACTGGACAGGGACAGATGGCTTTAGTTGTTTAATACATATTAGGTTTCAGAATTTGTGGTTTATGTCGAAAGAGGGACCATATTTACAAAAGTGTGAAATTTCTAAAATACCGTAGTTAATTACCTACACCAGAACATTTTAATTTCCTAACTTATGACAGTCTATCCAAAACATATTTACTTTACTGGTCTCTTAGCTAGAGGTAGGCCTTGTTAATATGCTGTACACACTTCATTAGTTCACTAATGTAATAGCCTGCAGGATAACCATGCACAGAGCTCCAACAACAGCAGCACATATAATAAATTAATTGGCTAAATTTTATTTTTTTCATGTGGGCTAACATGTCTGTTTTCTGCTAATATTTCATTCTTTTGTGAAGAATGTGACAAGGAAAGGATCATGAGGTTGAGTTATCTGAAAGACATCTGCACCTTACAACCAAAGGCTGGGAGTCTAGCAATGTCTTTATATGCAGCCCTTTTCCCCCCATTTAGAGTTTTTGCAAATCATGCAGTCTATTCTGACTGACATCCAGCACAAAAAGTCTCTTCTCCACTTTCAAACTTAAAAAAGTGATTCACAATCATGTGGCAGTATGATTAGAAATTTCAGTCCATACACCTTGACAATCAAAAGAGTCTGAATTATAAAAAGTAAACTGCCCTTATAGCTGCATCATCCTATATATGTAAGGACAGTGCCAGTTAATTTGTGAAAAAGGCAAGTTTAAGGTTTCTGTAAAACATGTATTACAGCTTTCTTGTGCTAGTGAACATCTACATTACACAGGCTCCCAAGACATTTTCCTTCCCTCCTCTCCCATTTACGACATTCAAAGAAATCACATAATTTTGGCAAAGTTAAAAGGGTTTCTGTCTTGATGGTTTTGCCTTCAGCTTCATGTTAGAGGCACAAACTTCTGGACTCAAGCACTATAAGGCATAGTAGAAACCACCAATTAAAACAACAGCAACAACAACAATACCACCATCACCACAACGGAATATACTGCAAGTGGGAACAGCTGTGTCATTTAAAAAGGAAACGTTTTTGTAAACTGTCACACGGCAATGCTGTGTTAGGTGATTCGTGTAAGGCTTGCCTTGGCATGCCAAATATTACTGTTGCTTGGTTTTGTTTTGTTTTTGTTTTTTGGTTTGTTTTTTTTTTTTTTTTTTTTTTTCCAGAACATGGTCACATAATCTGAACATTGCCACAGGTTCAACTTACCAAAAATATACCAGAACTAGCCCAGTGGCACATACTCTTGAAAACTTTTGCAATCACAATGTAACTGTAAATCATGAGTAAACTTTTGCTTCATTTTCATACAAAACTCAGAACCACATTTTCTACTCCCCCACCCAATATCCCATAAGAAAACAAAACAAATTAAAGAAAAAAACAAAGAAACCCCAAACTTCGTTAGACACCACTGTCTGGTTTTTGTTTTTCCTTTTTTTTTTTTTTTTTTTTTTTTTTTTGGCTATGGTTCTACTTACAGCACTGAATCCAGCATGGGCAATGTATTCTCAGGTTAAAAGAAGGAATATTATCAGCAGTTGAGCTGTGAAAACAGAAGCTCTGTTGCATTTATAGATAGTTCAGGACCAATTCTGTTATGCTGTAAGAGTCACTGCTCTGATCCCCTATTCAGAATGTCAGTGTCACTTTTTATAACCTAGATCTACCTGCTTTAGCTTTATTAAATAAAATGCTTTAGCTCCTTAAAATCATTGATAATAGTGACTTTTTGGTTGTTGTTGTTATATCTAAGGTTTCTGCAGTTTCTGAAAGACTGTTTGATTGATCCGATGTTCCACATTTTTTCACGGTATTTTTAGGGCAACAATATATACTCATTAGTACTTATGTACAATGGTTTGAAATATCTCTAAATTTACTTTTCTAATAATGCCTATTAGAAAAGTAAAAGTAATCTAACATGAATTTGCCAAACATAAATTAAATTTATATTAAGTTTCTGTTCCAATCCTAGATATAACAGCGTAAGTTCTTCTTATAAGACTGGTTTCTATACCTGTCTACAGCCCTGACAAGATTTAAGCATTGTTTTGAATGTGAATGGCCTCCATCTGGGTGTTTCCAATTTACTTCTACTTAGGAATGTGCAAATGATTTTATACAGCACAATGCTAGTACCACTCTGTACTATAGTAGGATTTTTGTTTTGTAAATAAAAAACAACAACAAATCCCTAGTCAGAAATAAACTGACAAAATTTACATTCTTCTCTCTTAAAAAAGTAAATAAAATAACATTATTTAAAATGTGAATTAGCTATAAGACATACAATACAATTACATAGATACATATCAATACAGCACATTCAATTTGCCAAAAATTAATGATTACAAAGCCCATATGGATGCTGCCATATATATATATATATAGATGTATGTACAATGATTATAGCATTCATAATTGCACTATACCTACAACCAGTTTTAAATTACAAGGTGTTTTAAGAGGGAGCAAAAAATAGCAACTGTTCTTATTACTGTTGTTTTGGAGTTGGGAGGGTTAAGGATGAAAAACGTCTCATTAGTATTTATTGTTAACTTTGGTAATCGACTAATAAGCCATTCTTTTTTCCACCTCCCATTCGCTGCTATGAGGCAGCAATTTCCGTGTTAAGTGCACTGTAGTGCTACTTGGCATTGCAGATAATCAATCCAATTACATGTTTGAACTCTGAGTTTTCTATAGCTTGCCAGCAATCATGCACCTGGTCAAAAAACACCTTTCATCCTAAGCTGCAGAATAAAGGCTCAACGTGTGCTGTATTTTTGTTGTTAAAAAATTGCACATTTAAATTTCAAGAATTATTTTCTCACTGTTTCATTTACATGAATAAATCTTTCCTAAAGAACATTGAGAGAGGCTATTTTGCACGAAAGCCTGTCAAATGTCCATGAATCAGTTAGTTAGCAAGCAACCTTATCAAGAAAGGCTCCTGAATGTGATCTCTCATCAATAATTTGTTATACAACTGAAGGTGCCTTGCTATTATTACAGAAAACAAACTTATGCCATATTTGACATAAGGAGAGATTTAAACTGTCTTTAAATTAGTAGACCACATGCATGTGCATGGTGCACCTTGTAGTATATTCACTTGTACTGTTGGTTTTGGCATTAGAAAATGGAACACTTTCTAAAAAAAGGAAACATATGAGCTGAAACTGTGTTTATCATTTGGCAGTTGACTCAGTCAGGCCAGTTACCAACCCATCAGTTTGGCATTTCAATCAGTATGTTTCAAGAGCATTGGTTTTATAAAAAGCCAGATTTGGCAACATTAATTTTATACAATAAAAATAATTTTTCTACTGTGGAAAAAGAACACCTAAAAAAAAGCTCTAACTTAGGAAAGAAACCCCACACAACTGAAAACAACCCCACTGTTTCAGGCTGTAGCCACTGGGGAAAATGTAGTGTCTATGACATCTCTATTTGGCATTTGTGAATAAAGGAGAGAAAAAAATGGCACATGGCAATTAAAAAGGGATTCTAACATATTCCATGTACATCCCAGGTTGTGTCTTAATTATTTCGTTACTGTCTTCTGTGCACCTTTCCAAACTGTGAAAATATGGTTAAATTTAATATCCTTAGACAACTGTAATCCTATTTTGCAATCCCAATTTTCTAGTCTCAAAAGTGAAGGCAGAATGAAGACACCCATGTCAAGAATTTAAAAATCACAGTATCAATACTTTTGATCCTTCAGAGAAAGTACATACTGTAAAATTAGAATGACTGATGATTTAAACTCTGATGATAGTATTTTCCTGACTAAATCACTGAACAGAAAATACTCCACCCAAGAATGCAACTGGGAAAGAAAAGGCCATTGTACCTTGTAAAAGATAAGGGGGGGAAGGGAAGGAGGGAGAGAGAAAGGGTCAGGGAAAGAGGAAACTAGCTTGATTTTGCTTCAATAGCAAAAAACTGCTATTCTTTGTAAATGTACGACTGAGAATTTAAAACACATTGAGTCACAAGGTTTTGCCTAAAAAATGAGGAAATGTGCTGTGAATGTACTTCAGCATCTTTTGTTTTTCCTCCATATAGTTTAAATAAAATCATAATATTAACTACAAACTCTGTGGACATTCACAGAGTCCAGGCCAGCAATAAATTAGTATTATGCAAATTGTTTTCACAGATAATACAGTCCCTCTTGTATATCTTCAATCACTCAAAATTGGTTTTGGAGAGCCTCCTAGGCACAGTTAGACCAGGTTGTACTCCTTTAGGTTTAACTGTAGGATTGTGTCCTTGACAGCAGCAAAGACGAAGCGGATATTCTCTGTGTCTGTAGCGCATGTGAAGTGGGAGTAGATAATTTTGTCACTGTCTGGATTCAGGTCTACGAACATCTTCAGGATGAACTCTCGTGCTGCTTGTGCATCCCGCTGTGGTCCTGATAATTAATAAGAGAAAGTCAGTTTTCTTAAAGTCAATTCAATATTTAAACTTCTTTAACAGAAAACGAGAAAGGCTCAATCTATGGTCCTCATGTAAGAGAAGACAGGGAACTTTTTACTAATCAATAGCATCATATACTGGCTACTTTATTCCTGGTAGGAACTATGAAAAATAAAGATGGAAGGCAATTTCAGAAGTTCATCAAGTCAGAGCTATCATGTCACAGCTGCTCTTTTCCTGCTGACTATCCTCTTTCTCTGGTAAGACAATGTTTAAAACACGTTATTTATAACTGCACAGAATGAAAAATGAAAAATTAGTTATACTAATAAATCTTTTAAAATGTTAAAAGAATTGCTGAATGTTCAGTCTACGCCTACTATATTTAAATTATACTTAAGTTCTTTTAACACTGCAACACTTGCTCGTTTTATAAGAACTTTAATAGCATAATGAAATAGTATCTTGAACTGGTCTGACACTGTCACCAACAGAACTTAATTTACTTTAGTGATAGTAAAATACAAATTCCCTCCAGCTGAAGCTGCTTGATTGCAAAAGGCTCATGTTCTAACAAATCACTTGTTATCTAAATTATATATGATAATGATTCTATCAGATCTAAATTAAGGTTTTAACCCTCAGAAGAATAGAGAGTCTATGTAACCAAACCACGTGTTCAGCTTTACAGAAGACAGAAGGTAAAATAATGACTTCCAGCCTGGAACAGTGAGGATTCATTCATGTTCACAGCTAAAAGAGCAGTGCAGAAGCAAGAACATTAGCCACAAGCTGTTGAATCATGTTCCATTACTCCAGTGCTGTTTCTGACAGCTATTATTCCCTTGCTCTTCTCTTTCTGGAACATGGATTTCCACAGAACACGTCTTCTGTGCTGCCTCCTCCTCCTCCTCTTCATTAGTCCTGTTGTTACATGGCAGTATAAATACCAGCACTCAGCTGTTAGATGTACCTGTGTCTTTCAGTAGTTACAAAATCTGTACTTTTGGGGTTAGCACATGCCCACATATTTTTCAAGAATTGGATAATAAACCTTATTTTTAATAACTTCAAGCTTACAAATGCTAACATTCCCAATTTAGGTAACTCTATAAAATTTAGGTAGGGAATACATAGAAGAATAAACATATATTTTTGGTGTGCTGCAAATCCATGTAGAGGAGGAATAAGATTCTGCAACGTATGGGTGTATGCATACGGACATATATGTACGTGCATACACATATACAGATGACATTTTGTGAGATTTAGGGACATGAACAGATCATACGTTCTCTGAAGCAGGACAGAAGACTGTTCAATGTTTCTACAGCTTCTAAAACATAGCAGGCTCTAGCCTTTGGCTTGGTCACCCAGATTACAGAAACAGCAGCAATAGTAAGTCTCACACTACCATGAACAAATTTGCAATATTTGTGAAGAAAACTTGCAAATATAATGATTTCTTCAAAATAAGACACTTATTGTTTTAAACAACTTCCTAGAATTTTACTGAACAGTTTCACAGTAGCTAGACACAGCGCTCTCTCAAAATCTACGGCATTATTCAAAGCCTGTATACAAATTTGCTTACCTAATCACACCTCTACTGACTATCATGTAATTTAAATTTTAGTTTGACTGAAATTCAAGCATGGAAAATTCAGGTTAGAAAAAACATTTATGACCTCAGGAGTTTGGAAAAAAATTGAATGAGTCAACATTAAATTCTGAGTGCAAAGTTGTTATGATCAAAATAATACAAAGACTTGGAAAAAAGCTGTCATATAAATCTTAGGTTTCTTGTCCGCTGCTCCCTAATAAGTAGTTTTCAAAAAATGTCTCTACATGATACATTCAAGATCTATATAAGAAGTACTACATCAATATTTTCACCTTCTTTTCCTCCCAACTATGGCTCCTTTTTGTCTTTTTTTCCTCTCTCCCTATCCCAGCTCTTCATTCCAGTCTGTGAGAGAGTCTTCTAGTACTAGCCATGCAAGGATGTGTTCATGCCATTCAGTGACTCCTGTGCATGCCTCATAAAACACTGATACAATACGCAGTGCAGAGCTTCTTAGCTTAATTTAACCAGTCTAATTTGCCATCCTGGCTAGCAGTTCTCATTCCTATGCTACCTCCTCCCTTGTGCAAATTGATGGGAAAAGTGATCTAGCTGAAAAATACCCATTTCCAATCCCCTTTCTCAGATCTTCCCACCCCCCACATCCCCCGTGCGCTGGGACAGAAGAAGGGACCACACCGTGACCTCTGCAAGCTACAGACCCCACCCTGCCACCAGAAGAAATAAAATAAAGCAAAACCATAACCTTGTCTATGGAGATAAATCCAGCAAGATCTGCAGAATTAAGAGACAAAGACTCTTGAAGACTTTCAGGTCTTGACTCCAACAGCCCTACCAGTCCATAATAATTTTTTTCCCCTCACAAATGGCAAAGGACAGAAGAAACTCTGAGCTGAGTGGTTGGGTTTTGTCTGTTTTTTTCTGGACAAGCATTTAACACAGGCTTTATTGTAACCTGGCTGTTCAAAACAGAGCAGACCATCAAGTCTTCTCACCTTCAGGATGCCATCTAGGAACTTGTCATACAAAATAAACTCAAAAAAATTAGCATATTTCTATTCAACTGCCAGTTCTCTTCTGCATAACGCTATGAAGCTAAACTTACACTGACTCATAAACAGCACAGTCTGATCCTGCAGGCTGTTCACTGTTTCCTTCCCCTTAAACCAGGAAACAAAACGTACATTTTTCCTAGCATTACTTTCTGTGTTTGAACATGAGAGATTTAATCTTTTATTCAGCTTTCAAATCTGCTATTCACTCATCGATGGGACAGAACAGATTTTCTTAAAAAAAAAAAAAAAAAAAAAAAAAAGGGCATTTAGTTCTTGAGACCTCTTATTATACAAGTTTGATTTTTCTCTGTTACCAAGGCCTCCACTCAGTTACCTCAAGATATTTTCTTTCTGAAAAATATTTTATTTTCTGAAAATACAGTTTTAGTAGAAACAAGTGTACAATCCACATTTTTTTTTTTTGTGGACAAGTATATTAAACTGCAGATAACAGAAAATTAAAATAAAGTTAAAAAAAGAGGTACAATAACAGGGTGGGAGAAATGGTACTGTTTTTTCTGAGTTGCACAGAGAGCTTATTACACTTCCCCTCAGATATTCTGCCTTACACAAAATCAAACCTCAAAAAAAATAACATGGGAGACAATGTATAAAAATGAGGCATGTATTTTTATTTAATTTTCAGCTTCTATACTTTAGGTTAAACCCTCACCCCAATATATGAAAAAGGACAGAATGTGGTTCACTGCAAATATGACAATACTCATCTATTGTGTCAACAATTTCCCATGAGAGGTCCTGCCATCCTACCCGCAATTAATTACAGCATAAAATGAAATACTATCAGTCTAAAAAATGCCACAAGAGTTCAATCATATTTTAAAAATTCAGAAGATTGAAAATTGCAAAGCACTTTTTTTTTTTTGTTTTTAAGGACCAAAATGTATCAGAGGGTCTATCTGCCTAGCATTTGGACAAGGCTATTACAATTTGTCATTACTGCAGTGTAGTATATAGAGCATGAGCTCTGATGTAATTATACTTACCGTCGTACTCTGGAAAATAATCAACTAGATGGGAATACATAATTTTCTCCTCTAAGAGATCTTTTTTATTTAAGAACAGAATGACTGAAGAGTTCTGGAACCATGGATATGTGATAATTGTCCTAAAGAGTGCTTTGCTTTCTTCCATTCGATTCTGGAATAAAAAAATGACAGTGAAATTTTGGTGGTGATGAAAATAATGTTTAGATTTTTCTAAAAATATATTAATGTAATTTCAATTTATTTGGCAAATGGATCCATTTCATGTTTTGCACCTTCCTACCAATATGTAAGGCTCCAGTAATAACTTACTATTAATAAGTTAGCAGATAATTAAATATGCAGGCATCTTCCTTTTGCAAATTCAACTGCTCAAGCATAAGTATTCTTTAAAACACAGGTCATGAACATGAAAGCTGTAAAAGGTATATTTGTAAAGTCTGGGCATGCACAGTTATGACCAGCTAACGAACTGTTGGGTATTGAAATGCATGCGATTCATGGCAGGGACAAGTATATCACAAGAAGACATAATAACCAATTCAAGAACATTATTTATTTTATAGGCCTTCCTCGAACTTTAAATGCAGTTAGATAATTCTTAGAAAGAGATCAAATTTAAAATACCTGCAAGTAATTTTGGAGCCTGAGAACATTTTGTCAACACCAAAGGCCTAGGACATAAAATCTTAAAAATCTGTAAACTGCTAAATTTGTTTCTGTTAGCATTGGATTAGCATTTACTTTTTGTTAAGTTAATTGCTTAACAGCTCCTGAAAACCACTCTGCATTATAGCTGAAATGTAAGTGAAGCCTACAGTTCTATTTGTAACACTACTGTAATTGTAAAACTATGTTGTGGTTTGATACAGTTCTGAAGAAGTGTTAGCCTGACATGATGTGGTCAACACAGAGTCAGAACAAATTAAGTTCTAAACAAAGGAACGAACTTACTCTTTTGATTATTATTATTGTTATTTGAAGCTGCAGCCCTCTGAAAAAACCCGTCTAGTCACTAAACAGGGCTCCAGGGAACAACAGCAAAGAGATGAATCCTGCAGATTCTACTGTTGCTGAGCCATACAACAATCTGTCAGATAACTCAGTTTTGCAATAAGTGTAACTTTACTTGCATTAATTTGCATTTTAAAGAGATCGAGGTAAACATGAAGAACAGGAACTTTAAAAACAAACCAAATCAACCAACCAACCAAAAAAATATCAAACAAAAAGAAAAAAAACCCAACCAAACAAACCCTACAAAAAGTCCATTTTGTAGAAGTTGATAGTTTGGTCTTTTATGTCACTACAGAATCTTCAAGCAATTTATAAAACTTTACCGCATGCTGGAGTGATGGGTGAAAATAAATAGCCAAATTTATAGACTGAGATACTAACACAGAGGAGTAAAACCTTTGTTTTCTTGCAGTCAGTTCTTATGACTCACAGTGGTGCCAGGATTACATTCAGAAAGGAGAAAAACGGAAATGTCAACAGAGCTGAGAATAAAACCTAAGTCCTTAGACTGGAATAAGACCATGTTTTATTCTCAACATCTATATAGACTTCCCTAAACAAGGCCTTACAGAAAGACAATGGGAACTACACAGGATACTTTTCACTATTACAGCTTGATGAAAGAGAGAAGTCAGTGTAAACTTACAAACTACTGTTTAAATGATAAATATTTACCTAAACTCAGTAACACTGGGTATCTTCTAGTGTGACACTCAGAAGGTGAAACAGCATCACGACTCAATTAGCAGTGTTCTTTCACAGGAAATTTATAAGCTATTGAAAACTTCTCAGTAAGAAAAGTACACAGAAAACACAAAGAAATTACTTATCTAGAGTGAGCGTTCCTGCTTTTCACAAAAACCTTTCAAGAAGGTCACAGTATTTTAATCTATAATGCTGATTTTTCTTCCATGTACACAACACAGAATTGCAAAGACAAAATAAATAAATCAGCTTGGATAAATTTATGACCCTTTCTCCAGGGAAGCTCAAGAAAACTGTGCTTTGCAAACACTGTTATTAGACCCAGAGTGCATTTTCATTTTCTGTTTGAAAGGGATGCCAAACAAGATGAAGCAGAAAAGGCATGCAGAATAAAGCAACACTGACATCATGCCTAAAACAATTTCTGGCATCCTATCAACTAAAACATTAACTCTGTAAGTGCTGTGTATCATAAAAGTACCAGGACACATACACAATAAAACATAAAGTATTGTGTCTTCAATGTAAGAAGAGTATGCCTTCTATTACATATTAATTATGAATTCTGTATAATATGAACAGCATTTCACAGTCATTTTTTTCCTATTATAAATGTCTCAAGTGTTGATTGAGGCATCTGACTTAAGCCTCTCCTTGATGAGATATTTAGTAAGGATTCCACTCAACAGACAGATCACAAATGAAGCAGGTTTCCATGATTTCAAAGATAGTTCAATTAATTCAAAACCCCTGTAGGATGCCAAAAAAGCACACTACTAAGAAGGAAGTACAAAAAAGCTGCTTCAGAAAAAATAACGTTATATCAAAAGAAATAATTACAGCCTTGAAAAATTTACAGAAGTGTTCAATACGTACAGTCTAACAATTGAAAGAAATGCTCAACTGCTTTACAAAAAATACATAGTTCAGGAAGTCAGTAACTGAAGTCAATAAAATACTACCCAATTATCTCACCCTCATTCACTGTATTCTTTAGTGTAGTCAAAGTTTCATTTCATACAGAAGCCACTTGCCTCAAAAAGTCATCCAGTTAACTCTATTTCCAAGAAGAGCCAGGCTAAATCTGAATCTATGCTTGATTCTGGGAGAATAGGCTTTAAAGAGGCAATAGCAGAAGGCTGCTGCCTCTGCTGATTTTGTATTAAACTATCCAGTCCTAAACAAAATTAACTGGAAGTCAGAGAATTGTGGGAAATCATAAAAAATCCACCTTACATTGCCAGAGTCCATTGAAGTAGAATTATTTCACAGTACAGGATCTTGATCTGTACAGTTGTACCAGATGAGGACATTGGGAAGGTAAGACACTAAAGTGTTGCACACCAAATGGTAGCTCTGAGCAACAGTAACTATCTTGGTATAGGGATTATTTCAGAGTGTACATCACTAGAGAATGGCCCTTACCGCACATCCATCTGCAGAATGAAGCAAATAGCAGGGATTAAGATCCCAGGAAGGCTGCAGACATATTTTCCAAGGAGGTGGCAAAGGATGACAAGCTGTCCAAATCAGTTAATAAGAAGGTCACTCTCCTTAGGATCTATAACTGACAGGTCTATGATTTTCTGTGATCCTTTCTGCCCTCACAACAGAAGCTTGGAAAAAAGACTTGGGGTATCACTGGTTATCTTCTCTGAATGTATGTCATATTGCAGTGCTCCACAGACAAATACTATACACGTCTTTCATGAAGGTGTAAGATGGTACTGCTAGAACTTTAAAAGGTTGGATCAGATAATTCCAGGGATTCAATGCAAATTTCATATCATTTGTATATTTAACAAGTGTCTTGCAAAGCCTCGTAAAGATATTAACTAAGAAAACTCCTTTTCAGTTCATTGCATGGCATATGTAACATTATGCATATATTACTAAATGATGGCTATGGTCAATGATAGTCACTGGAAGAAAACAATCTTAGATGCAATGATGTCATGAAGGAATTGTACATGGGCTTGTCTGTTTTCTCTGATTTTATCAGCTGGTCTAATAAAATTATAGCCTCTTCCTACAGATCTGGCTTACTTTATCATTTGTATTATCCACGGGGATCCTCTGAATGAAACACGTCAGTTCTATCCAACAGCATCATATAGGACAGTTATTGCAGTCATATGTCACACTAACATCATAGTTTTGACATCTAAATATCAAACCAAGGAAATCCAAAATCCATAACTGAATGCTAATTCTGTTTTGGTTGGGTTGGTTTTTCCACATCCCCCCCACCCCCCCTGTTCTTTTATAATTTTATTATGCATAGACCTAATAATAATATCATATATGAAAACTCAAGGGGATTCAGAGGAGGGGAAAAACCCTAGTAAATAGATGTCCTAACTTCATAGTGAGGTTGGGGATTTTTAGTATTTTTTTTCTGCCTTTTCTTAGTGCCATGAATGGCACTTATTGTATGGACAATACAAACAAAGTTTAAGAAAACAAAGTACTTAACACGCCCTAAAAATTGGACAGATACTCACTGTACACTGACCATATCTGCATCTTCTGTTGGTGTGTAGTCATAACATAATAAAACTTAAAGGTTGTCTCTCTTCTGTTTCCCCCCTATAACTCACACCTCCAGATGACTGAGAGCTTCCTTAGCAAGTAAATAGAAATGCTTACCAGTTGCCTGAAGTACAGTAAATCTCACTGGCTTCTTTCCCTTCCCTATCCTTTTCTTTAAATACATACTAAATTCTCAGCACTTTTTAAAAACGGTCGGGAAAGCCAGCAGTGTAAACTTGAAATTAATATGTATTATTGAAAAAAAAAAAAATCAGCCTCTGGTTTCTCCTTCTGAAACTATCCCACATAGTGAATCAAATCATTTGCTTTTCACAGTATCTGTTTTAACAGAGAAGAGTCAGAAAGTTTAAAAGAAAGCAAATATACAAAAAAAGCAGCACAGAGATGAAATGTTATAGCTTCAATACTAATGGAAAGTGATAGACTTTCTAGGAAAACATTGCAATCTCTACTTCAAATTTAAGGACTGTTTTTGTTAAACTTGTCACTGAAGAAATCAGCATAGTTATAATGAAGAACAAGTGCAGTCAACTTATGTGGAGGATGCTGATAAATATCCAGCACAAACTCTGAAGATGAATATTAAGAGAATTATTATGTTATTAACATGCAAAGAAGCTAGATTCAGAAAAGGAAAGTTTAGCACAATTCTAACTATAAATACGCATGCACTTCTGCGAAGCTAGTCCTTTGCTTCTCATTAGGCTTAAGTCAAGATCTTGCTGTTAGATGCTGTGTTAGGAAACCACTAGGAAAATACCATCATATGCTCTTCCAATTCTAAGCAGCTCTTCCCAAGAGGCAACCTTCCATGTTCTCTGCAGTAAGTCAATGGATGCTTATATGTGGAGAAGAATTTTGCCTTTATTTCACCAGAAA